GTTTTGTGGTACAGTATAGATGTTCTGTATTGAGGTGTAGTAATGTGGTGTAGATGTGGGTTTGTGGTACAGTATAGATGTACTGTATTGAGGTGTAGTAATGTGGAATAGATGTGGTTTTGTTGCATAGTATAGATGTACCGTATTGAGGTGTAGTAATGTGGTTTTGTGGTACGGTATAGATGTACTGTATTGAGGTGTAGTAATGGGGAATAGATGTGGTTTTGTTGCATAGTATAGATGTATCGTATTGAGGTGTAGTAATGTGGTTTTGTGGTACGGTATAGATGTACTGTATTGAGGTGTAGTAATGTGGTGTAGATGTGGTTTTGTGGAACAGTATAGATGTACTGTATTGAGGTAGTAATGTGGTGTAGATGTAGTTTTGTGGTACGGTATAGATGTACTGTATTGAGGTAGTAATGTGGTGTAGATGTGGTTTTGTGGTACAGTATAGATGTACTGTATTGAGGTGTAGGAATTTGGTGTAGATGTGATTTTGTGGTACAGTATAGATGTACTGTATTGAGGTAGTAATGTGGTGTAGATGTGGTTTTATGGTATGATACACAGGGACCTGAGAACTTGTTACAGCTATATTTGGACCTAAACTAAGGAGTTCAGTGTGATTTTACTTGTTTTAGGGGTGTTAATAGACTTTCGGTAAAAATGAAACCCCCAATTAAGGAAGGAAAGCTCTCAATGTCGAAATGCCGACCCCACCTCACTTTCTTGCATCAAAAACAACATTTCTAGTTTATCTACGGGAAAATGCTTAGTACCGTCTGAAAGATGGATAATTTTCTTTTAAAAACTTCCTATATGCCCGTAAAAAGTAATCTCCTTCCGCGGACATGAACTCCGTTTCCGCCAAAAGCACACGCCATTTCTGAGTTCCAAAGTTTTTCGCAGTCAACCTGCCACTTTTTTTAATGAGGTTGACTTCAGCCCATACTGAAACATGCAGTGTTGGTTGGTTTAGCAAAAAAAATGGCTGCACTTCCAGCCAATCACACCACGGGTCTCGGCAGATGGCTGACATCAACCTCATTAATAAAAAAAAAGTGGCATGCTGACTCGAAAAACTTTGAAACTCTGAAATGGCGTGTGCTCTGAACACTTTAGTTTAGGTCCAAATATAGCTGTAACACATTCTCAGTATATCATACTATCGTGTCACCTGTCACTAACATAAAGGACATGATTGTTTTTCAAGATAGACAACTGATAAAAAGTCAATATTTCCATACTTTCTTTCCACGTCCTGCTATATTTCTTTGATAGCCATTCCAGCAATCTGATTTTGCTCATTCATTATAGACTATACCTTGACTTTTCGTGTCTAATTTTTTTTTTACTGGTAAAATAGGTCATAATTACAAAATTAATCTCAAGGTCACAACCATGTACTCTGTTAAAGTAAAAATGTTACTTACCAGGTGGAACCTTAATTAAAGATACTTAACTATCTGCTGATTTATTTTTTCATTTTTCAGTGAACACATCAGGAAGGAAATAGCATCAAATAATGGAATGAGAACCGCAGCCATGTAAGTATGACTGACACTTAGTTAGTGATGTACATATGACCGTATTTACATTGCCGAATATACGTAGGTGACACAGATTTTAAGTATTACTGTTCATGTAAAGTACCTAATATCCTTTATCACAAATCACAGGTATAATGAGTTAGGTAGAAAACATCCTTAACATTAACACAAATCACAGGTAAAAACCTGGCTCATACTTAAATGACCATAGCTGTTAATAAGACATAGACAACAAACAAACCAAACCAAATCAAATCACATGTAAAATTAGTTAGGGAGCATACCTCCTAAACTCTAACACAAATCACATTTATAAATAATAATGTAACATGCAACCTTAATTCTAACACAAATCACATTTATAAATAGTAATGTAACATGCAACCTTAATTCTAACACAAACCACATTTATAAATAGTAAGCTAACATACAACCTTAATTCTACCACAAATTACATTTATAAATAGTAAGCTAACATACAACCTTAATTCTACCACAAATCACATTTATAAAAAGTAAGCTAACATACAACCTTAATTTTAACACAAATCACATTTATAAATAGTAAGCTAATTCAAACAACCTTAATTCTAACACAAATCACATTTATAAATAGTAAGCTACCATACAACCTTAATTCTAATACAAATCACATTTATAAATAGTAATGTAACATGCAACCTTAATTCTAACACAAACCACATTTATAAATAGTAAGCTTACATACAACCTTAATTCTAACACGAATCACATTTATAAATAGTAAGATAATATACAACCTTAATTCTAACACAAATCACATTTATAAATAGTAAGCTAGCATACAACCTTAATTCTAACACAAATCACATGAATTAAGTGGTGGCTCAGAAAATGAAATGTTTGTTTGTTTGAGTGATTTTACGTCCGAAAATGAAAATATCTTGCATATCTTGCATAACAGCGTGCAAGTCCTCAGGGAAAATTGTTCTGTACTGTTAGTATATCTGGTCACAAGGTCACTAATTAATCAGCTAAAACAGGTCAATTATCTTGTATATTAAAGCACAAGGTCAGACCAGAGCCCTGGTACTCATGACCCTTTTCACTCCTTTGTGAGGGGCCCAGGTCAGTTGTTATGGCAATGCAGAAAAAATCAATGCAAACACACCAATTGTACTTCTACAGATATACTTCCTAATTTACCTGGTACAATTATTAGATAAGAAGGATAAAGTTTTCGAGGAAAAGGACAATATATAACTGATATAGTCAAAAATTTAAACATTGACAAATATGTCATTGTGTTAGCAATCTGATATCAATACACAATGTACAACATTTTGTTTAAAGTATGTTTTAATTATAATAGTTATTTCCACAATTTATTCCAATATGTATATCACACAAGAACAAAATATTAGGAAAAAAGGTTGTTCCAATAAGTTATTTTTAGATGTTACAATCAATGAAAACTAACAATATATTTTATTATTAATAAATAATTGGAGAAGTTATATGCAAAAGTCACAGACATCAAATAACATCTTGAAATATAAATCATTTCATGTAATTTTAAACTGCATTATGAAATACAGTATGGAAGGATTGATATATTAATCAAAGTATTCCAGACAGATATGAAATCAACATTGAAAATAAACTCAAGGATTTATGAGAGAAAAAATGAATAAAGACAAAAGTCAGCAAAATAAATGAAAACCCACAGTGCTCTCCCCTTATGAAAATTCTGCATCTGCCCCTGCCCATGCTACCAGTATTTGCCCCTGGTCCTGTGCATAGCAGTCATCCTTGGGACTACAGACAGAGCTCAAAACAAGGAAATATTGCAATACGTGTGCTACTTTTAATGATAATGTCTTGCCATGATTGCTTAAATATCCAAGTAAAGCCTTCAGGGCCTCATATCTTACAATACCTGGTATATCAACATACCTTGAGTTTGGAAATCTTGACAAGCAAATACTACTCATTGAGGAATTTCTATTTAGTCAATTATACCAAGCATAAATGAATCAGCAAAGTATCTCCCTTACAGTTGTGTAATAGTAAGATTGTCACGAAAAGAAATATAAGATGGAACAATGTAATCTCAGTGTTCATTAGTTGAAATGCTGTAACAGTGTTTTTTTTTAACAGAGTTATGTTCATTGGCGCAATGATTTTCACCTGGATAACTACTGAGACAAGGAAAGCAAAGAAGCCCTTCTGTATTGTTTTTATGGTTATTTTTGTAAGTATGCACTTGAACACCAACTTATTGGTTTAAAATGTATGTGTCCACATGGAAAGATAGTACGTTTGCCACTACATAGCCCTTGTCCCCTGCCATGACAGTTTTGAGGATCGGAAATAAGTATGACCTGAATTGCTGACAGAATTATATGAGGACAAGGTGTAGCTGTATGGTGTTAATTCGTACAACCCGTTTTGGAATGTGAATGGTATCAACAACATACAGTGTACCAAACTTTAAAGCCCTGGGATGAATCACCCAAGAAGATAAGGCGACATTCATAAATGTTGATCTATGTAGTCATTGGGGTAATTTTCTGCTCTCAGATTTTCATACAATAACTCCTTAAATACCAATGTTATCGACTTTCAACTCAAGTTTAATTTGACTGGGATCCTTTAAACAAGACCAGATAGACAAGTGTTGTATAAGGCTGTAGAGATCTGATATATAAATCAATTGCAGGGCTTCAGTTTGACGGTGTGCCCACATCATTCTCACATGAATTTTGAAAATGACACATGTGGTTTGAAACCCATAGGCCCTCTTTCTGCATGTTTATTTGTTGGAGTTGTCAATCTACTACCGACCAAACTCGTGTAGGGTTTTGGTTTAATCTTCATCATCCCGACTGTTTGCTTTACGATTACAAGCACATTATACATGTAGATGTTTGCCCCCGCAAAAGACACGATGACCATGACGACTTACACTGCGGGAGTGACTAATCATCGAAGTGTACTGATCCTGAACTGAAAATGCAATAAATTGTTCTTATTTAGGAGATTTCCGGACCACCTATTCTTGTTGATTAGTCACTCCCATTTAACCTACAAAATGGCATTACTCAGGTGGGAAATTTTGAACGATTGAAAACTGAGAACTAATGAAATGTAGCAGATGTTGGTGATAATAAGGACAGTTTTGGATCAATATACAGTATATATAAATCACCCATCCTCTTTCATAGAAATTACCCATCATCTTCCATAGAAATAACCCATCCTCTTCCATAGAAATCACCCATCCTCTTCCATAGAAATCACCCATCCTCTTCCATGAACTTCTCTTTAAGATATTGCTTTGGGCAAACATGGTGTAAGTGGGACAGATGGACAGATAGCTTTACATTTAAGAACGTTTTTTAGGTCACCTGAGACAAAGTCTCAAGTGACCTATTGCGATCGCCTTTTGTCCGGCGGCGTCCGTTGTGCGTCCGTAAACCCCTGAACCAATTTCAATGAAATTTTGCAGAAATCTTCCATGGCCAAAGGTCAACAAAAAAAGTGGCTGATTTGGTCCCAAGCCCCCAGGGGCCTGAGGGCCGTGGCCAAAAAGGGTCAAATTGACTAAAATTTCAAAAATCTTCTTCTCAAGACCAAGATATGGTAGAATCAAATACTCGTCATAGCTGGAAGGGTCTTAAGGTGATTTACCAAAATTGTGAATTTCATGACCCTAGGGTCTCAGGTTTACCCCTTGGGAGGGGGTAAACTTTACTATAGTTTATATAGGGAAATCACATTTTGTTTAATTTCCATTGGAAGTAATTCAATTTGGGTAGCAGTTTGATGGTATGCACATATCAGCCCTGACTGACCCCCCAGGGCTGATGTGTGGGGCGAAAAAGGGTCGAATTGACTGAAATTTCAAAAATCTTCTCAAAGACCAAGATATGGTAGAATCAAACACTCTTCATAGATGAAAGGCTCTTAAGGTTTATGACCCTAGGGTCTCACGTTTACCCCCTGGAGAAGGAGGGGGGGGGAGGCAAACTTTATTATGGTTAATTATGGCAAATGATACTTTGAATATTACATGTTAATAACTTGATTGGAATAATAATTATGAGTTGACAGTTTGATACTTTGAATTTTTTGAGCCAGCCCTACACCCAAGGGCTGTAGGGTGGGGCCCAAAGGAGTCAGTGTGCTAAAATTTCTTCATTTTCCTTGTTTAGAATCTGAGGTGCGAGTTTCAAATACTTTTCAGTCTTAAATCTAGATATTGAATAAGGTGGTTTTATTGTTTTTTGTCAATTTGAATAATATTTCTGTTCATGTTAAAAACAAAATCAACTCTGTATAAATATATCAGGTGCAGTTAAGGTCCATGGGCCTCTTGTTAATTCATCTATTAGACTTTTCATGTGGACATTTCAAATAACTTTAAGGTGATTTTAAGAAATTTCTGACACTATCTGTGTAAAGTTCATGCATTGCTGTTACTGGGTATAATAAAATCAAACCATACCATAACTAATGATATTACGATATTACGATGTGCTCCTGGTATGACCAGAGTTGTTTTGATGTTAATGTATTTATTATCATGTCTTTGTTACATTTTACTGTTTTCAACAATAATGCTATTAACTTTGTGAGACTTTCATTTTTTGTTAAATTGACTGTATTTGTGGTCTGTTGTTTGTAATTGTCCGAGAGAATGTCGGACAACCAATCATGGTTGCTTTGAAATCATCCAGTCATCGACAAAAGCAATCGTTTTAGCCTGACAAAGGCTGACTTTTCTTTTTTCTTTATTTTTCAGACAATGATTATCGGCTACTGTATTATGATGCTCTCTTGGTACGTATAATCCTGTATAATCTGGGATGAGAATTAGCCTGCTGTAGCTCACTGTTATGTAGTGAGTGGGATTAATGTGGGCACCCTTCATCAGTGGGGGGACTATGTCTTGTTCAGATTAAGATCAAACTTAATGTTAGAGGACATCCGGGTAAATACAGACACTTTCAAATGATGACTTCTAATACTTGCTCCTTGGTACAATTAAGGAACATGCTGTGTGCGATCTATCATATACGAACATATTTCTTCAGAATGAAAGTCCCCTTCTGTTGCTATTTTTAGTTATGCTCTTGATTAGTAGGTAAAATGAACACTAAAATATAAACCATAACACGGAATCTATAGGAATCGATTGAGATAGGGACACGTGTCGGGTAGTTACGGAAACGTGTCGGGTAATTACGGACACGCTGCTCTTATCATGCTCTTGCCCAATAAAGCCATAGAAACTAGCCACAATGATTTTTCAGGGGTTGCTGCATGTTCTGCTCCCAGTTCATGTTCTTATATAATTATCCTGTCGGCATACTATATACCGGACAGTTTGTAATTATATTTAACTTACCTCCCGGATTATGCGCAACAACATTCCTATTGAGCGCTGGAATGCTGCTATTTGGTTAAGTGATATTGGTGAGTCCAAAATGTAAGTTTAGCAATATATTTAGGTGTATAATTGTATTAATTCTGAGAATCACATGTTTGCTTGTAAAAATAAATCAATGTAAATGCCTTATTTTGAAAAATGGAGTCAAAAAATCTCTGTTAAGAATCATCTTAATATTAATTGATCAAAAGAATTGTCCGTACATACACGCCTAATATTATTTTTTGGGAATCTTCCTCAATTTTTTTTATTGATAAATTACTGCAATCTAAAAATACATAAGTAACAACATTAAGAGTACAATATAAAGGATAATATTTGTTTTTTGTGAAGATAATTGTAACATAACTGTTGTCCGAAATTGTGGCTTTTTTTTCGAAAAAATATATCTGAAAATCAAGTTTCCGGATGTGTCGCAAGTTGCACACATGACGACGAATATTATTAGACACACCATTGCTATTTTTACACTTTGGAATATTCCGGTTACTGTCCACCAATGAAGACAAACATCTATACCAGTAGATCGATCTACGTCTAGGATGAACGTAGTTTGATTTAATCATGTTTTATTATATGCATGAAAATTTCTCGCAATCACATTGGTCGGATCCTCTACACGTGACCAATCCTCAAAACCTCATGTAGACTGGTTATCCGGTGAATATCAATTTCTAAATATAGCCTATATGGAAATTCCCCGGAACCTGTCGTAGCGCAAGCGCAGTTAGACCGGAACGTGATCTGTCAGACGACAATAGAAGATGGCTGCTGGCGAATGTTGCTCCTCCGTTACATCAGAAAATTACCAAAACTTTTAAAGAATAAAGATGCTGTTAACATAAAAAGGCCATGTGTATGTCCTCCATGCTTTTCTTAAGAAAAAGAACCTAGATGATGCCTTCGAAAGCAATTATGTATGATTAATATATATATAAGGATACTGATTTAATCATATGTAATGTATTATGTATGATTCATATAAGAAATATTCGTATTTGCCTGCATGCCTGTCTGTATTTACCCGGATGTCTCCTAGAACAAGTATTTAATAGATATTGGCCAATGCCCAAAAGAGGGATATTAAATATCATGATGTCCTATTGACTACGTAATAAAATGTTATACCTTTGTAAATGAAGGGGGTTGTTCCCCTTGGTTCTGAGGATCAGATTGTGACTTGTGGTACATGTATAACTATTAATAAAACTATTTTGCCATGATGGCTTATATTAAACATCCATCATAAGTGATGCAGGCCCTCTTGGCCTCTTTTATATAGAAATTTTCATTTACTTTTCAGTGTTGTTGGGAGCCCTATTCCATTGATTTGTGTTGGAATTATCGCAATTGTGTGTATTCTCACTATATTATTTCTTCTCCAGAAATGGGTAAGTCATTGATACCTACCCTTATCACCAGTGTGTGTACAGGGTTATTTATACCGGTGGTATTACTTTCCCTTATCACCAGTGTGTGTACAGGGTTATTTATACCGGTGGTATTACCTCCCCTTATCACCAGTGTGTGTACAGGGTTATATATATATATATATATAGAAAAAATAAGATTTAATGACCGAATAAAACATACACATACAGGTGTATTATTTTAGTCGGTCGTTAAATCTTATTTTTTCTATAATAACTTACTTCCCCTTGGACATTTAATCCTGATATATTATATATATATATATATATATATCGTCGGGATTACCCCCCATGTGTCAACCGTGTGTGTATGAGGTTATTTATATATACCAGTGTGATTACTTCCCCTGATCAACAGTGTGTATGGGGTTATATTTTTATACCAGTATGATGATATCCCATTATCACCAATGAGTGAATGTTGTTACATATATACACAATAGTATGATTATGTCCCATTAATTATCAACAATGAGTGTAGTAGGTTATAAGTCCCCTACCGGTGAAACCAGGGGGGGGGGGGACTATAGGTTTCCTCTCCGTTCGTCTGTGTACGTACGTACGTAACAGCAATGTTTGTCAGCACTCAAGCGGCTTTATTCCTTGAAGGATTTTTATCAAATTTCACAAAAATACAAAGGACCATAATATCTTGGACAAGTACGAGTTTCAGGGTTGTTTGGTGAAGGTCAAGGTCACCATTACTATTTTTAGAAAATCCTTGTCAGCGCTCTAGCTGCTTTCCTTAATGGATTTTTGTCAAACTTCACACAATTACAAAGGACCATAATATCTCGGACATGGTTGAGTTTCGGGTTGTTAGGTCAAGGTCAAGGTCACTGTTACTATTTTTAGCTCACCGGGTCCGAAGGACCAAGGTGAGCTTATGCCATACCGTGGCGTCTGTCGTCCGTCCGTCAGCAATTTCTTTAAACGACTTCTTCTTCTTAACCACTGATTGGAATTTAACTAAATTTGACTGGAAGCATCCCTAGGTGATGGGGATTCAAAATTGTACAGATGGTGGGGCTGACCCCCCAGGGGGCTGAGGGGTGGGGCTAAAAGGGGGCAATTTGGCTATATTGCTTTAAGCGACTTTATCTGTAGAACTATGCACTGGATATGAATCATATTTAATCAAAAGCATTCATGGGATGCAGGGATTCAAAATTGTACAAATGGTGGGGCTGACCTCCCAGGGGGCTGAGGGGCCGGGCCAAAAAGGGTTATTTGGTTATATTGCTTTAAGCAACTTGTTCTCTGGAACTAAGTGATGGATATCAACCATATTAGACTGGAAGTATCCCTAGGTGGTGGGGATTCAAAATTGTACAAATGGTGGGGCTGAGGGGCAGGGCCAAAAGGGGGCAATTTGGCTATATTGCTATAAACGACTTCTTCTGTAGAACTTTGCCATAGATGTATCGATCCTATTTGGTCGGAAGCATTCATGGGAGGCAGGGATTCAAAATTGTACAAATGGTGGGGCTGACCCCCTGGGCTAAGGGGTGGGGCCAAAAAAAGTGTATTGCTTGGAAATGGTTGAGAGACCCCACCATATAACCACATATACAGTTGCTGAGTATAAAGAGAAGAATGCACATTTGTTTCCGGGATGGCCCTACGGTCTGGCCCCACCCTTGGAAACATAGTCCTTGGGCCATAACTTTAAAACTGTTAAGATCCCCACCCCAAAACTATATATACAAAAGCGGGGCATAAAGAGACGAATGCAGTCACAATGTTAGAGTAGACCCTGGGGTCTGACCGAACCCCTAGGGACCTAGTTTCTTAGTCACAGCTTGGAAACAGTTGAGATCCCCACCCTATAACCATATAGACAATTGCTGAGTATAAAGAGATCAATGCACATATGCTTCCAGGATGGCCTTGGGGACTGCCCCACCCTTGGAGACTTAACCCCTGGGTCATTACTTTGAAATGGTTAAGATCCCCACCCCAAAACTATATATACAATTGTTGGGCATAAAGAGACGAATGCAGTCATGATATTAGAATTGACCCCAGGGTTTGCCCCACCCTTGCAGACTTAACCCCTGGGTCATAACTTTGAAACGGCTGAGATCCCCACCCCAAAACTATATATACAAATGCTGGGCAAAAAGAGACAAATGCAGTCATGATATTAGAATTGATCCTGGGGTCTTGCCACAACCGTAGGGACCTAGTTTCTGAGGCACAGCTTGGAAACAGTTGAGATCCCCACCCCATAACCATACATAAAATTGCTGGGCATGAAAAATTGAATGCAGATATATATGCTACAAGGATTGGCCTTGGGGTCTGGCATATTCCCTTGGATCTCATTCGGAGAATATTTTGCCATGATTGCTTAGATATCCAGGTGAGTGATACAGGCCCTATGGGCCTCTTGTTAGAGAATGCTTGTCAGCGCTCTAGTGGCTTCATTCCATGAGGGATTTGAACAAACTTCACACAAATACAAAGGACCATAATATCTCGAACAAGTTTGAGTTTCAGGGTTGTTAAGTCAAGGTCAGCATTACTATTTTTAGAAAATCCTTGTCGGGTCTACCGGCTTCATTCCTTGAGGGACTTGGATCAAACTTCACACAATTACAAAGGAGGACCATAATAACTTGGGGCAAATTTGAGTTTGAGGGTTGTCGGGTCAAGGTAAAGGTCACTGTTACTTTTTTTAGAAAATCCTTTGTCAGCGCTCTAGCGGCTTCATTCCTTGAGGGATTTGGATCAAACTTCATACAATTACAAAGGACCATAATCTCTCCGACAAGTTCAAGTTTCAAGGTTGTTTGGTCAAGGTCAAATTCACCATTACTATTTTTAGCAAATCCTTCTCAAGGCTCTAGCGGCTATCTGCCTTTATCACCTGTGTGTGTATGGAGATTATCAGCCTTTATCACCTGTGTGTATATGGAGATTATTTACCTTTATATCCTGTGTGTGTATGGAGATTATCTGCCTTTATCACCTGTGTATGTATGGAGATTATCTGCCTTTATCACCTGTGTATGTATGGAGATTATCTGCCTTTATCACCTGTGTGTGTATGGAGATTATCTGCCTTTATCACCTGTGTGTGTATGGAGATTATCTGCCTTTATCACCTGTGTGTGTATGGAGATTATGTGCCTTTATCACCTGTGTGTGTATGGAGATTATGTGCCTTTATCACCTGTGTGTATGGAGATAATCAGCCTTGATCACCTGTGTGTATGGAGATTATCTGCCTTTATCACCTGTGTGTGTATGGAGATTATCTGCCTGTATCACCTGTGTATGGAGATTAATTGCCTTTATCCCCTGTGTGTGTATGGAGATTATGTGCCTTAATCACCTGTGTGTATGGAGATAATCTGCCTTTATCTCCTGTGTGTGTATGGAGATATCTGCCTTTATCACCAGTGTATGTATGTAATGTTATTACCTTGGTACATATCCTGATACTCCTATTATATCCTAGGTAAATATCCTGATACTCCTGTTATGACCTGGGTAAATATCCTGATACTCCTGCTATAATGCTGTTAATATTATAACTTGAGTACATATCCTGATACTCCCGTTATGACCTGGGTACATATCCTAATACTCATGTTATGACCTGGGTACATATCCTGATTCTCCTGTTATGACCTGGGTACATACCTGATACTCCTCTTATGACCTGGGTACATACCTGATACTCCTCTTATGACCTGGGTACATACCTGATACTCCTGTTATGACCTGGATACATATCCTGATACTCCTGTTATATGTGCCTTTATCACCTGTGTGTATGGAGATAATCAGCCTTTATCCCCTGTGTGTATGGAGATTATCTGCCTTTATCATCTGTGTATGTATGGAGATATCTGCCTTTATCACCTGTGTATGTATGTAATGTTATGACCTGGGTACATATCCTAATACTCATGTTATGACCTGGGTACATATCCTGATATGCCTGTTATAATGCTGTTTATGATATATCCTTGGTAAACAACATGATACTCCTGTTATGACCTGGGGACATATCCTGATACTCCTGTTATGGCCTTGGTACATATCCTGATACTCCCGTTATGACCTGGGTACATATCCTAATACTCATGTTATGACCTGGGTACATATCCTAATACTCATGTTATGACCTGGGTACATATCCTGATACGCCTGTTATAATGCTGTTTATGATATATACTTGGTAAATATCCTGATTCTCCTGTTATGACCTGGGTACATATCCTGATTCTCCTGTTATGGCCTGGGTACATATCCTGATACTCCCGTTATGACCTGGGTACATATCCTAATACTCATGTTATGACCTGGGTACATATCCTAATACTCATGTTATGACCTGGGTACATATCCTGATATGCCTGTTATAATGCTGTTTATGATATATCCTTGGTAAACAACATGATACTCCTGTTATGACCTGGGGACATATCCTGATACTCCTATTATATCCTAGGTAAATATCCTGATACTCCTGTTATGATCTGGATACATATTCTGATACTCCTGTTATTACCTGGGTACATATCCTAATACTCCTGTTATGACCTTGATACATATCCTGATACTCCTATTATATCCTAGGTAAATATCCTGATACTCCTGTTATGACCTAGGTACATATCCGGATACTCCTGTTATAACGCTGTTTATGATATATACTGGGTAAATATCCTGATTCTCCTGTTATGACCTGGGTACATATCCTAATACTCATGTTATGACCTGGGTACATATACTGATACTACTGTTATGACCTGGGTACATACCTGATACTCCTGTTATGACCTGGATACATATCCTGATACTCCTGTTATTACCTGTGTACATATCCTGATACTTCTGTTATAATGCTGTTAATATTATAACCTGGGTACATATCCTGATACTCCTATTATGACCTGGGAACATATCCTGATACTCCTGTTATGATCTGGATACATATTCTGATACTCCTGTTATTACCTGGGTACATATCCTGATGCTCATGTTATAACCTGGGTACATATCCGGATACTCCTGTTATAACGCTGTTTATTATATATACTGGGTAAATATCCTGATACTCCTGTTATAACGCTGGTTATGATATATACTGGGTAAATATCCTGATACTCCTGTTATAACGCTGTTTATGAGATATACTGGGTAAATATCCTGATCCTCCTGTTATAATGCTGTTTATGATATATACTTGGTAAATATCCTGATTCTCCTGTTATGACCTGGGTACATTTCCTGATACTCCTGTTATTACCTGTGTACATATCCTGATACTTCTGTTATAATGCTGTTAATATTATAACCAGGGTAAATATCCTGATACTCCTGCTATAATGCTGTTAATATTATAACTTGAGTCCATATCCTGATACTCCTGTTATGGCCTTGGTACATATCCTGATACTCCTGTGAAATCGCTGTTTATGATATATACTGGGTACATATCCTGATACTCCCGTTATAATGCTGTTTATGATATATACTTGGTAAATATCCTGATTCTCCTGTTATGACCTGGGTACATATCCTAATACTCCTGTTATGACCTTGATACATATCCTGATACTCCTATTATGACCTTGGTACATATCCTGATACTCCCGTTATAACGCTGTTTATGATATATACTGGGTACATATCCTGATACTCCTATTATATCCTAGGTAAATATCCTGATACTCCTGTTATAATGCTGTTTATGATATATACTGGGTAAATATCCTGATACTCCTGTTATAATGCTGTTAATATTATAACTTGAGTACATATCCTGATACTCCTGTTATGACCTGGGTACATATCCTGATACTCCTGTTATGACCTTGGTACATATCCTGATACTCCTATTATGACCTGGGTACATATCCTGATATGCCTGTTATAATGCTGTTTATGATATATACTGGGTAAATATCCTGATACTCCTGTTATGATCTGGATACATATTCTGATACTCCTGTTATGATCTGGATACATATCCTGATACTCCTATTATGACCTGGGTACATATCCTGATACTCCTGTTATTACCTGGGTACATATCCTAATACTCATGTTATGACCTGGGTACATATCCTGATACTCCTGTTATGACCTGGGTACATATCCTGATCATACTCCTGTTATGATCTGGATACATATTCTGATACTCCTGTTATGATCTGGATACATATCCTGATACTCCTATTATGACCTGGGTACATATCCTGATACTCCTGTTATGACCTGGGTACATATCCTGATCATACTCCTGTTATTACCTGGGTACATATCCTGATCATAGTCCTGTTATGACCTTGGTACATATCCTGATACTCTTATTATGACCTTGGTACATATCCTGATACTCCTGTTATTACCTGGGTACATATCCTGATACTC